TTTTTTTTTTTTTTGAGACAGTCTCACTATGTCACCCTTGGTAGAGTGCCATGGCTCCACAGCTCACAGCAACCTCAAACTCTGGGCTCAAGCAATTCTTTTGCTTCAGCCTCCCACGTAGCTGGGACTACAGGTGCTGGCCCCAACTCCCGACCATTTTTGTTGTTGTTGTTGTTATTGTTGTTTAGCAGGCTCCTCTGGGTTCAAATCCGCCAGCCCCAGTGTATGTAGCTGGCGCCCTAGCCGCTGAGCTATAGGTACCGAGCCAAGAGATGTCCTTTTTAATAGGATGGATCACTAGAGCCTGCATCTCCCCTCCGCTCTGAGGGCTACAGTGTACCAACCTAGGATCTTTAGCTGCTGGACTCAGCACAGTGCTGGCTAGGGAGGATGCACTCATCCATAGCAGCTCTTACTTTTGGTGTGTCCAGAACCAGTGAGGTTTTTTAGTCAATTGCTCAATATGCATGTCCTGTGTCACTGTTATGCTGGGCACAGAGGCTTGAAGCCCCCTACTCTGCAGACAAGTGGCAGATGGGAAAGGCACTCAAGAGGAGGGAAGTACAGGAGCAGATGCAGAGAAGTGTGGAGACCCAGGTGTTCTGGGGGAGGGAGCCAGAGAGGCTGGAGCAGGGGCTCTGGAGGTAAAAAAGAGGAAGGTGGGAGGTTCTTCACTTCCCAGCCCTCATCTGTCCCAAGGTAGCCACTAGTGCAGTAGGAAAGACACAACAAAATTCAGTGTCTGGCAAAACTTGCCTCTGGGTCTATTCTCTGGATTTGCACGTCCCAAGGTTCTTCCCCCTTTAGATCTCAGCCGTCATACTCAAAGGCCTCAGGACCATCCTCGGGTCTCAGGTCTCCTCCAGAGCTGGGTCTGGACAAGCACCGAGATCAAACCCACCCTCTAAACCTGCCCTGCTTAAATTCAGACCAATCAGCGTCGAGCTCCTCATGAGAACAGTAGGGTCACTGGCCGCTATCTGGGCATGCGCAACCTCTCGCCTAGGGCCTCCTCCCGCCTCGCATGCGCACCGCGCCACCGAGGAATAAAACAGATGGGGTAGACACCAACCTTGGTTCCATCCTGAAAGCCAGGAAGCTCTCCTCGACCCTCTTGTATCACACGCTTTTGGATATCATCCTCGCGGAGTCTTGCGATGATATCCGCCATCCTTCTTCCCCGCTGCTCTCTTTCGGCAACTTCCGGACTTGCTCGGTAGCTTCCGGACGTGCTTCGGCAACTCCTAGAGTCTCGGCAGCTTCCGAGCTAGCGCCATTTTGATTGAGGGCAGAAGCCAAAAAGGGACTGAACGTGGACACGGACAGGGATTGGTTCGCTGCGCTGCGGCTAAGCGCGCGCCCTGCCCAGGGGCCTGAGACAATCCTGGAAGAGGAAAGGAGCCTGTCAGAGAGGCGGGGCTTGGGACTGCCAGGAGGGCGGGGCGGGGACATCCTTAGCTGTTATGTCATTTAATTGGCTGGAACTATGGCCCTCCCACGTGGCCGTGTGCCACTCCATTACGTGGTAGATGAGATGTAACAGCCTTGTAGAGTTAGGGAAATGAAAACAAAAATCCCACCCGTAGCGCCACACCCTAAACTACTATTACTTTGTGTATTCCCTTCTGACTTTTTCCTTTGCATATCTAGTATGATTGTCACGACTTTTGATCCTGGATTTTTCTCTTTCTTTTTTTTTTTTTTTTTTTTTT